CAGGAACATTGTCAAGCGCTGACCGGTCCGCAGTGATAAAAATGTTGGGGACCACTGATGTACAGGACCACCTCACTGAGCTGGTCTGCACACTCCCTGAGGACCCTGGGGCTGATGTGGTCAGGGCCTGTGGCCTTCCTGGCCTTAATCCTCCTTAACTCCTTCCTGACCTGGTCTACCGTGAGGTGGAGGGGGCTGGTGGGCGGTGACTGCTCAGGAGCTGTGGGATGTTGAGAAACCCCCGTGATGGTGGGAGGAGGGGCAAGGTCTAGCTGAGATGTGAGCAGCTACGGGGGCAGGGAGACAACTGACCTGGAGAAGTAAGTCGGGGGGCTGGTAGAGTGGGGGCTGTACTACATACAAAAAAGAAGCAGAATACAAGACAACCAGTACAAAGCAATGAAATAGGAAATATTCATGCTAATAGAAAAATTTACTAAACAAGGAAACATTATTAGACTGTATTTTTAGTCAGATAGATATTGGTTAGGTACTTGTATGTATTAGAAATGTTTAGTGGAGACAGGATGTCTAGTTAGACTGTTAAATGCTTAGTCGTTTAATATCATGACATGTCACTAGAGGTCGTGTGAGAATGTTTTTAGCTACACACCACTTAATCAACAGACACACACACACACACACACACACACACACTGATTTACTTCCTGTTTTGACTACTGCTACAGCCAGCTGCAAAGCTGGTAAGAGAGATGTCTTGGTTGACGTTTCTGTGTAGTATGGGGTTAGCCCAACCGAGGGGGATATAATGTACAGGCCTGGTTTGGTTCGGGGTCTTTCATCTTTCATCTGCCTGCGTGCAGTTTGGGGGTGCAAGATGCCTGAGTGTGTAATGTTAATTTTTACCTGTGTTCATGGAATAATCAGCACTGTTTTGTAGTTACTTGGACTGCCTCGTCTCTCAGAGTCCGTATGGTAAAAAGTACCGGATACAACAAGACACAGAAAAGTACAAAAGAAAAAGCACAAAACTCTTACCAGACTGTGCCAGCACGGAGCCCACTGGAGACATAGTTAGCCTTATCAATATCCTTCGTAAACACAGCGGCTGCTAGACCATATTTAGTATTGTTGGCTCTTGTTACAACTTCCTCCAGTGTTTTAAACTTCAAAATCTGCATCACTGGACCAAAGATCTGCAAGAGAAAACATGACCGAAAAAAAAAAAGCACTAGAATTACTGCTCTGCAGTTGTATGCCTCCGCTAACCAGTCTAATTCACAGGAATGGATAGACATGAGGTCACTGACTTTTTTGACCACCAAAATTAATTAATTCAGTCCTGAGTCCAATTGGACACTTGTGCCAAATTTGAAGAA